GTGGCCGGCCGACCCAAATTACCCCAAGAGCGCAGCGACAACTCATCCAAGAGGTCACAAAAGACCCCACAACAACATCCAAAGAACTGCAGGCCTCACTTGCCTCAGTTAAGGTGAGTGTTCATGACTCCACCATAAGAAAGAGACTGGGCAAAAATGGTTTGCATGGCAGAGTTCCAAGACGAAAACCACTGCTGAGCAAAAAGAACATAAAGGCTCGTCTCAGTTTTGCCAGAAAACATCTTGATGATCCCCAAGACTTTTGGGATAATACTCTGTGGACAGACGAGACAAAAGTTGAACTTTTTGGAAGGTGTGTGTCCCATTATGTGTGGTGTAAAAGTAACACCGCATTTCAGAAAAAGAACATCATACCAACAGTAAAATATGGTGGTGGTTGTGTGATGGTCTGGGGCTGTTTTGCTGCTTCAGGCCCTGGAAGACTTGCTGTGATAAATGGAACCCTGAATTCTGCTGTGTACCAAAATATCCTGAAGGAGAATGTCCGGCCATCCGTTTGTGACCTCAAGCTGAAGCGAACTTGGGTTCTGCAGCAGGACAATGATCCAAAGCACACCAGCAAGTCCACTTCTGAATGGCTGAAGAAAAACAAAATGAAGACTTTGGAGTGGCCTAGTCAAAGTCCTGACCTGAATCCAATTGAGATGCTGTGGCATGACCTTAAAAAGGCGGTTCATGCCCGAAAACCCTCCAATGTGGCTGACTTACAACCATTCTGCCAAGATGAGTGGGCCAAAATTCCTCCACAGCGCTGTGGCAGACTCATGGCAAGTTATCGAAAACGCTTGATTGCAGTTGTTGCTGCTAAGGGTGGCCCAACCAGTTATTCGGTTTAGGGGGCAAACACTTATTCACACAGGGTTTTGTAGTTTTGGATTTTGTTTTCCCTTAATAATAAAAACCTTCATTTAAAAACTGCATGATGTGTTTACTTGTGTTATCTTTGACTAATATTTAAATTTGTTTGATGATCTGAAACATTACAGTGTGACAAACATGCAAAAAGATAAGAAATCAGTAAGGGGGCAAACACTTTTTCACACCACTGTACATATGCCTGTTGACTGAACTAACCAACACCCCACCATGTCCTTGTCTTACCCCATTTAACCCATATAATACAGATAGATTTTCAACATTAAATCAATGAAAAACTGGGTCAATACTTAACATCAGTTTTCGTTCTGTTTATTTATCTGCTCCATTTGCCCAGTATACTCTATCTGTTTCTAAGTTGTCCTTCAGTGAAGCTTTATCACACCTACCAGTACAGCAGGCAGTAAAAGAAGCTGCTGCTATTCTTTATCATGCTCATTCATCTCTCTTCATGTTTCAGCCTTAATGTCAGGATGGAAAACATTTCAATCAGCATTTGGAACATGGACCACTAAGGTTCCCCTGTGCTAACAATCTGACATACTGCAAATAGTTGACTGCTGGGAGCCCCTGCTCCATTTTTCCATTTTCTCCACTTGCTCTTCTCTGGCCAGTCTTTGTGTTACCCCATGCCCAGTTGCCTCTCTGCTCCCCAGACTGTGGTGCACAGAAAAGGTCCACAGAGCTCTAGGGCTCCTGGTGGCTCTCCTGGAGGTGCCACCCTCACCACAACCCTCTCTCAAGCCAAACCAGAGCCACCTACAGAAGCGTTCTTGTAATCAAGTCATGCTTTTTATGTCATGTGTGCTAGTGGGGCATTCCATTCAGGACTTTCTGGCTACAACCACCACATGACAAGAAAAGACGTCTGTTAGTCAGCCTTGATTTGGATTGCTAGCTCAGGGCCACTTCAATGTCACAGGACTACTATACTGAGTTAAATATACTGCAAAGTAAAATTGCTCTTTTACACTTCAATCATGTGACTGCTTCATTATTTACTGCCTGTGTATTCTTGCATCTATACCTTTGGCAAACCTAAAGTTTTCAGTGGGATTTTCACTCATGTCCTTATTCAGTCATTCAGTATATGGCATGTGGAAACATATGTTATCAGTTGGTCTGGCTTCTTCCCAGAATGGAATCTCTAATATAATCCAGTAGAGCAGAATGTAGTTAAGATGCTGCTGACACTTACCAGCTATCAAATGACAACTTACTTTCCATGGTTAGTATAATTAGCTGTACTATTCAGTTATGTTTGATTCTCTATTGTCATATTTGTACAATTTCTTTTATCACTGGTATGTGGTAAAACAACCCCACAGTTCATATACTAAGGAGAATAACCTTTTTAACATGACCACCATGCAGTTTCATGTTTATCCAAAGGCGGTGTGAAAGACTTTCATAAAACCAAGGGTGGCAAGATTTCTCAACCCACAGAGGATGTAATCCATCCAAGTTGTTTTTAAATGTCACCATCACAAACACAGGAGTTGCAAAGTTTCACATCCCAACAGTAAATCTGAATGTTCAACTCTGGACACTAAGATCAAGGTGACATGTAAAGCAATACACTAGAGTAAACAGTTTGTTGATGTACTGTCCACTGTGTGATGCTCAGGGACACCCACCTCCCACCATGATGAGAGAGGTTCAGCACTGTGCAATGCCTTGGCCTCCCTGTGACGGCCTGGTGCCAGCTTTGCTCCGCTGCTGCCAAATAAGACCACAGTCTGTCTCAGCTGCAGGCCCTCTACTATTACAACATGCATGGCTGACCCCTAGATCTGTCAGCTGTTCATAGCCACCATAAATCTCATTTTGGTGCTGTTTTGACCTCAGACCAGCTGTACTGTCACTGTCAATAAAGCTTGCAGTTTATAGGACACTGAAGGGAAACACACAACTGTAACGATAGCATCAGTTGAGTGATTGTCTTAAATTATTGCCTTTTAACTCCTCTAACTCACATGAAAAGTGCTAGTAGTCTTTGTTAGATAGACTGAGTTATTTACTTACTTTTTTCTTCATTTGAACTCATATTTTTTTTCTTTTTTATGTCCTACTGGCATGTAAACTACTCAAAAAAGATATTACCTCCTTGTTGGGCATATTACAGTACAGATCTACTTAGATGTATCTTTATATATGTTAAATATCATTATGTGGCAATGCAGTGTGCTGTGCATGATTACACTGTGGCTTTGGGATTAAACACCACATTTTTGAAGAAGCCGATAAACAGTTGAGATGACAGAATGTGTTGTTCAGGCTTTTTATCCTTGGCTGAAACGCACTGTTGTGGAGACAATGACACTTCTGTTCAGGTCAGAATCACAAACTGTGGTGGCAGATCTGCTCTTTTTTTGGCAATAGAAACATACTTGCACACACAGTGACACTGGTTCTTCTTGGCTGGTATTACCAAAGTGTGACAATTACGTACATATGCACTTCTGAACCCTTTTCTAAGAGTATCACTTCACCTGTATCCATGTGGTATTTTTGACAAAAGGAATTAATGCCATGGTAAAAACACCTGAACACATTAGTTATAGTGTTTCCCTTTTAGCTTCTATATTAATTACCTCTATTTTAAGCAGAGGTGGAGGAACTTTACTGACAGTAAAGTAATCCTCTATTTTCAATATGGAAAAGGGAGAATATCACAATATAAAAATGTCCACTCTTGATAGTTAAAGTTCTGCATGAATATTTTAATGAATAAAAAATGCAGACATATCCTAAGTGTGTGTATTATGCATTATTATCTTATGCGGTCATGTATTGTTTTATAACTATTATTTTTCTTGAGGATGGTCCCTCTAAAATGTAGTGGGGTATAAGTAAAAAGCAGCATAAAACTGAAGTACTCAAAGAATATACCTTAAACATGTTATTAATTAGAGTACCAGAGCAAACTTTATCTTTTTATATGCAGTATTTATACTTTATTGTGCATGAGGTATGCAAAAGGACATTTGTTAACATTTACAACAAAAATCCATCAAACCACATAAAATTAATATTTTTAAAATCTCTGTTGAGAGTACAGAATTAAAAGCCAAGACAAATCAAAGCTGGGTTCATAATGAGCTTTTTATTTAAAAGCAAATGCATTAGAGATAAGTACATTTGGCAGAAAAACCGTGTTGCTACTATTTCTTTTGTACAAAAAAAGATAAAATACAAAAATACTAATATTGACTTTTAATACAATTGTGGTTGTATTTTTATTTTGAATGCACATTACAAACATAACTGTTATAATCTACAATAGTTTAGCCATCTAGATACAAAACTCTGTCAACTGATGCTTTTTAAGCAGCATTTTGTAAAGAACACAGGTCTGTAATCATAGTGAATATATCTAAACATGTTAAACAAATATCTTAATTTTGGTGATCTATACATTATTTATATATTTATAAAAAAAAGAGAGTGAAAACAGCTTTGTGACATAAGAGGACGGACCAGTGAGAAAGATGTGCAATATGGCGGAGTGTGTTGTTGGAGGAGGATATCTGAGTAGGACTTCTGTACAGTTCTGTACAACTGTTAGTGATTATACGGGTCAGGCTATAAACATACAAGGTTAAAGATACTTCTTAGCAGAGAATAAAAATAGATCCACAGTTTTTATAACATTCACCTGCTCTCCTGCTTTCTGTCACACACACACACACACACTCACGCATACACACACACTTGACGCAGCTGACAGTGTGTTTCATTTGCCACACACAATTTAACAAGAGGGGGCACAGTGCTCATACACTGGTACACACACTTTCACACACAAGGCGTACATGTACAAGAATGTGTGTACCTACACAAGCACAGGAGTGTATGGGACACACACTAACTGAAAGACAAACATCCATTGCCATTGAGTGACTGGGTGGGTGAGAGCCCCTCCGTGCCAGCAGAAAGAGCCCAGATCATCCCAAAATAATGTGCCAGCTTAGCTGTAAATCATCACCCTCTTCCCACAGTGACAAACCGAACCCCCTCACTCTGCCCAGCCATTCTCCTCCCTGCTTAGGAAGCCAAACAGATGACCCCAACACCAAAGAGTTTCATGGCACTGCCCCCGGGTTTGGGCTGCACTGACAGTCCGCTATAAAAAGCTTGATGTGCTAGAGATCTGGAAATAGACACATATAAAGTCAGAGGGCTTCCCTGTCCAATGCTGAAGGTCTGAAAGGCATACACTACAAAGGACTGCCAGTCAGTTATAAAGCCTTGAAAAGATCAGTATATGATCCTCACTGTGGCCTATCAGTACAGGGTTATTGTTATTAAAGCCATGCTATACTAACAATGAAATCTTGTTAAAATACCACACTAGGCTTGGTCAATTTCCTCTGGGAATAAGCATGTCTGTCTCATGGATGTCAGCATCATCAAGTTTTTTTAGGGTTAGCCAACTCAGGCAGCAAGTGGTGATAAATTGTTGTGAACCTAAAAACAGTGCTATACGTTATATTTTTCTATACTGTCAATATTTCTATGCTGCTAGTTATCACAGTAATATCCTTCCTATAGCTAAGGAAGTTGCTGTCCTCCAAGGCCACAGAGAGTTCAGAGAGGAATCATCATTGGAAGGTCCTCTCTCTTCCTAGGCAGAGGGTTTGTCTGTTTTATTTTTATTTTTCATTTTGTCTCTTTTCTTCATTTTTTTCACAAGTGTTTTCCCTTTATCTGGTTACACTTCCATCAAACCTTCACACCCTCAGCTCCGCCTGTCATCAGTTTCTTAATTCATTTTGTCTTTTAGCTTTCAATTCTTCTACGTTTGTGCTCAAAACAATGGGCTCAAATGTTGATAAGTAGTTAACATAATAGTAAATAATACGTCTAGATGAGAGTGGACTCTGCTGTGCAAATCTCAAATTTGATACCCTAGTCCACAAAGTGCCTCGGCGGGCATTTCAAAAAGGAAGGAGGATGCCGTTTAAGAAGCAGCTACAGTCTCTTGTCGCTACATTCTACTGTCCAATGGGAGGTGAGCAGCCCTGTTACAGGCTCCTTGGTCACAGGAAAGAGAGGTGGTCTCTCTCACACCATGTTGTGGTGGTTGTTCCTCTCAATTATGTCGGATGATGGAAGCAGCTCCTTTTTGATGGGGGAGGGTGGAGGTGTGACTGGCTTCACCCTGGGCTTGAACAGATCTGACACATAAAACACCTGGTGGACACACAGAGGGAGAACAAGGTAAAAAACACAACCAAATGCCAAGAAAAAGACAAAGGCGCTCTATTCAGTTCAAATGAAAATACCCCACACCAGGGGAAAGCCAAGTTACTGTTGCAGTTTGCATACTAAACCTCTCTCACCTCATTTGTTAAACCTTTCTAAGCTGGTTTGCCTTTGCCAGACATCTTCTCCTTTGAAAGCCTATTACCATGGCCTGAGATACCAAATAACCATCCACTTCTCTTCTTCAGATATTTGGCTACACTCCAACATGCTTTGCAATATGACGCTTGATATGATCAAAAACTCATCTGGAAAGAGTCTGAACATGGCAGGTCTGAACATGGCTACAGTAATGCGAATAGGCACCCACATGTTCTGTGAGCTGGTGAGAAAGTTGTATTACTACACAGTACCATGATGAGAAACTCCCAACCACCTCCTTCTTTGTGAAATTTCAAATTAGCAACATGAGTAATGTGGCTGAAGGAAGTGATCTTAGTATAGCTCACACTGAACTGACACTAAGACTAAGTGAACCCTGCTTAATCTTCTGTTAAATGATGGCAAAGGTGAATTCCTTTTTTACATCACCTCTGAGGTCAGTCTAGCTGGCACTGGTGGGGAATGAAGAAAAAAAGAGGGAGGGAGAAAATGTAGAAAAGAAATCTCTTCCCGACATCCTCATGACTTCATATGTCAAACAGGAAAATGAGCAGGAGCGGACAGGAAGTGGGACCATGAAAATGACTGTCTACTCTAACAGTGGATTACCATTTCCACTAACACGGGGGTCTGGGACTACTCATGAGCAGCAGCAGCTTCAGCTGCAGACAAACACACAAAAACACATAGACACATAATTGGCAGACAAAACAACTTTTCCTTTCGCATTGCCAGTTGAGGGTGCGTTGTATGTGACCTGGGGGGGTGCCACTTAACAATAAACTCTGTGAAAGAGAATGTACTGTGTGCCAGTTACTCAGAGAGCTGGAGCAACAATATGGATAACTCCAATGGGAGAAGATATACTGGGAAAATCCATCCAGGAATGTCCTCTGGGAAAACATACAGTACACTTGTGACCAGTTCACTGTTCATTTTTGTTGTTTTCCAGGAAAAATGGTGGACATAGAGTCAGTGGTCTACTTTTATGACAAAGACTGTCTCATTCTGTGACCTTTGACAGATGGATGACATCTTATGTAGATAGATGCCTCCAAAACACAGCTGCTTTCATGCCTTTCAATGGGCTCATTGTCTACAAAGTCATTAGTTTGTGTTTTGCCTTTATTACGTCAGATAGGGAATATTATAAATGGTATAATTAGGGGAGTGTAGAGGGATATGAGGTGGAGTCACTGCTCTGAGAAGGTCATCATGGGAAATATTCCAGCCTTGTTTCCCATCAGGATGCTTCACGTCCAATCGCAGTGGAGCCTGTCACCACGTCACCCTACCTATCACCCCTGAATGTACCATGGTGGAAAACTTATCACGACTTCACCACTTCCTGTGCACGCTATACACAAACACACACACAGAGTTTGAGACCTATTGTGCTGAGTGATGCAGGCTCAGCAGTAAAAAAAACAACCTTTATGTGTTTCTGTGGGTGGCCTGGTATTATTCATGTTGTGGGTGTGTAAACTGTTTACACAGTCACATTGTGGGGACTCAAAGTCCTAATGGGGACAAAAAGCAAGTTCCCAGAATGTTAATCAGTGAACTGTAAAGTGACAACTTAGTGTGAGGGTTAGGCAACTGGTGGTTATGATTCAGGTTAGGGTAAGTGTCCAGGAAATGAATGTAATGTCCCCTAAAGTGATGGAAACATAACATATGTGTGTATGTGTGCATATATGCAAGTTAAAGTTCTGCATTCAAAATTTTACTTGAGTAAAACTAAATGTTAACTTAATTAGAAGTGTTTTACATGCTGCTGGGCAGGTTGGGAATGTTCTATTGAGGATCAATAAACTTTTATGATTATACCCTGTTTTATTAATCTGATTCTGAAAAGTAACTAGTAACAAAAGTTAGCAAATAAATGTAGTGGAGTAAAGGGTACAAGAATGACCTCTCAAATGTAGGGAAGTCAAAGTATGATATAGCAAAAAAATAAATACACAAGTATATCTACCTCACAGTTATACTTAAGTGCAGTATTTGAGTCTGTGTACCTAGCTACTTTCCACCACTGTATATAAGTGTGTGTGTCTCTCTTTAATTGTGTATGCGTAACTACTATTAAAATGTCTGTCTGCTGACAAAAAGAAACTGAGTCACACAGGAAGTGAGTGTGCTAACTGGCAATACCTGTGACCACCACATTACTCACCAGATCCCCTCTGTCAAAGAATACAGCTATAAATCCGCATGCAGTTGAATAAGCAGCCTCACAAAATAATTAATCAGAAAAGCATTTACACCAAAGTAGGTCAAAGATGTCACTGTAAATATTACACTTGTATATTCATGAGATTAAAAAACAAAACGTGTGTTAGTTGGTGTACAACATACATTTTCAAGTTAAAGACTTAAGTTGTGTGTGTGTGTGTGTGTGTGTGTGTGTGTGTGTGTGTGTGTATGGAGTGATAACAATGACTTCCTGCTTCTACACAAGTTCACTGGCCACACAGACACTGTTTATTTGAGACCCTCATTCTGTGCAGCATGTTCTGTCAGGGGTGAAATAGCATCCTCTGGCTGCCTCTTTTAATGCCTGACCCCATTCCTGTCTACTGGGGCCATGAACCTTGAATAACAAATGGATGCAGCCACAGCTTTCTTTCTGACAGCTGCATCCTGCAGGACTTGGTCCTCTTGACCTTGATTATGACACATGTTAAAAAGTAGGTCGCTGTGTCTGGTAGAAAGTGCCAGGTAGGACAGAGACCACTTCCTGTTGTGGCTCCCTGATTCTCTGGATCACAAATAGTAGCCTGGAGTGTCTGACTCAAAACAGACATTCATGTACACACTCTTCCGAAACTTAGTATCCAACTCAGACACCATTAATCATTAAATGTGAGGACATTCCAATGGATTTAAAGCAGCCATTTAAAACCACAGTCTACCACGTCACTACTTGTGACTGTGCCTATACTTGCTTTGAGCTTATATTGTTCATTCACTGGCAGTCAACAGGGCTGCACTGGGATTAAAGAGGTAAGTGTAACCTGGGGAAACCAGGAAAAGCAGACAAAGTCAGGGAACAAATCACTTCTGTACAGACGATCACTGAACTCTATTTGGAAAGAAAGATGCTTTCCACAAGGCCACAGTACTCATCGTGTGATATTCTGAACTCTTCACAATCTCACAGTCTCCAATAACAACGCTGTGTCACAATTGCACACAGAGAGGACTGGACCCCAAGACAGAGAGGCCAAGGCAGCCAGGTCAGTCTAATAAACTTTACTGGCAATAAGTATGAGTATGGTAAATGGTCTTATACAGTGTCTTTACACACACTGAAACCCTTTACACTATTTCTCCATTAGCACACACCAGTGATATCATCAGGAGCAACTTGGGGTTCAGTGTCTTCCCCAGATAAGCCAGGAATTGAGCTGTCAATCGTCCAGTTGAGAGACGCTGCTCTACTTCCTAAGGCGCAGCCACCAGAGAATACGCAAGTAGCTGAGTACTCTGGTCAACAGGTGAAGAAGCAGAGGGGAGCGACTGGCCGATGACTCTAGCTGGGTTGCTACTTCTCTGCAGAGAACTGGATAATGCGGAGTGACTTTTCAATCTACTTGATTTATTTATTTCCTGTTAGTGTTTTTGGATGATACTGTGGTGACTGTATATGTACTACTGACTGTACAAATATTTGCACCTCAGGGATAATAAAGGATTATCTTATCTTATTCAGACTTTGATTTAGTAGTGAACACTGTATTTAAGCTGTCTCCCTGTGAGAGTTGTGGAACAGCTGAGTCGAATAAACTCACGCTCATCTCAAGACAAGAGTCTCCTCTCATGTCACTTCCCTCCCTTCATTCCTCCTGCCAGATATGCCTATTCAGATGTCTTTATGAAAAATGTTTTTTACTTGTCCAAGCTGATGTTGTCCAGCAGCAATGCCTAGCTGTAGGACCATTCATTTTGTTATTGCATCCTTCAATAATCTTGGCAGGGACCCTATGCTGTAGTATACCAAGGTCTGCCTAGGTGGCACTACTGAGATCTTGCTGAATTTTATTAATCTAATCCTTTCTGCATTCTGGATTTGGATTCTATGGAAAAGTAGAGAGAGGGAGAGAGGGACAGAGAGAGCATGTCTGTTCACACTTTTCCCTGAGGCAACAGAGTTTAGCTGTGGCCTGCTGTGCTGATAGACCCAGAGCTGCCAAAAAAAAAAAGAAACACCAAAATAATTAACAGCCTCATTCCTGTTTTAAAGGCTAATCCTCTCTCACTCTCTCTTACACACTCTTTTTACACTGTCTCTATTTTCCTCTTGAACCACATTCAATTTTCCTTAGCTCCATCTAGTTTAGTGTAATGATGAGGTTTACAAAAATCATCTGGCAACTACAAGGACAAGTTGTCACAAAAGCAGTGGAGAAGGTCTGTGGACTATGCATTCACACTAACACGCAGAGACACTTAAAAACACGCACTCCTGAAGGAGGGTTATGGCTCTAAGCAAAGTGTTATTCATCATTAAAGGGAATCAGATTCTCCTCTCTTCACGGCTTGCTTTGTTTCTCCTTTTCATCAAAAGCAGAGAGGCGAAAAAGCAAGAGAGAGGTGTGTGGAGGCAAACCTTATTTGAAGGTTGGCCCATCTATGAGATCCCCAATGATCAATTATAGAAAAGGTTTCAATTGCAGACGGTCTGCCTGTGTGTCATGTGTGCACTCACTATGCAGCAGGCCACCAGGGCTCCCTGCACAAACCCTGCCAAGACATCAGTCGGATGGTGCTTGTGGTCAGAGACACGCGATAGGCCGGTGTAAAAGGCCATCATCAAGAGGGTGAACTGCAGCAGCGGGCGGAGGAGACGAGCACCGCGCCATGTAAACCTGGACTGCAGATAGAACTGGAAGACAAAGAGGGAGGGGAGGACAGGAAGAGCAGAAGATACTGTTTATTGGTTCATACAACAGAATTTAATATACACAATTACTGTGTAAACACTCTAATATACAGCTTCTGTGTATAGGATGTAAAACATCATCCACATCAATGTCGTGCAGCTCTGTTGCCAGTAATGACTTTATTCCTCATATACACCTAGCTGAATTTTTTTTTTTAAGTTTAACATACTGTATGTTGTAATGCCTTTAAAACCCTGGACCTGTGTGTGTGTTTCTGTGTTATGATTGTCTGAGAGGCCTAGACTGAATCAAAGTGGTCAGGTTTGCCAGAGCCACAGAGAAACACTTACTCTCATCCACAACACACATACGCACTTGACTGCCTGAGAGCGAGACATGACTTACTCAAGGCTCAGCATCCCAGCTGTAAAAACAACATGAC